GCTTTAAGTTACGTGACCTAAACTAAATACAAAGTAACATGCTTGCAGCATCAACCGTCCAATTCAAACAGTGATTAAAATTACGACGGCTCGAGCCTAGGTATGAACTCCTAGTAGTACCCTCAGATTAAAGTCGTATTCGTCAGGAAGAAGTAGGCCTTCAGCCGTTCCATAAGTCCTTCAGCGAGATTGAAGTGCTTCTCGCCCCGTATCATTTGGTAAAATTTTAGAGGCCAGCAACAAACAGCATTACCTTATAATAGTTCGAAATAAATCTAATCACAAACTTCTATTTAAATATTAATATAATACTTACTTACTATGTAATTAAATAAGCTAGGTATATATTGTAATGCCTGTGAAGTGCGTAGAAATTATTAATTAGATTACATTAACATAAAACATAGTTCATTCGATATTTCATTTTGAATTGTATTCACTTACATAATAAACAATATATAACGAATATTTAGCATACAATTAACACTAACTCTGACGAACATTAAGACACGAGTAACATTCTATAAGAATAACTGGAATCAAAACAAACGCAAGACAAGAGCATCCAGGAGCCGGTGCGGCCGCATGCTTTAGCTTAAATAAACAGAACTTTTCAAAAATTTGTGTATTTAAATCGAATGTGACTTGTGTTACTGCGCTATTTCTGTTAACAGCCGCACTGATGGATCTGAAATAACACCTCCCATACCGTACAGGGAACTCGCATTAATTCATAAGGGATTAGATGTCATCATAAACAGGAATTATTTAGTCAACTGAGGTTAAAAACAACAACATGGCTACTTACTGGCAAATCAGTTTGGAAATATGGCGTAATAAATGCTATTTTCAATAGCGTGTGTAGACTAAGACCCTTGGTAATAAATTTTACCCATGTAAGTACGATATTTTTTGTTAGCACTAAACTCATTGCGGTGAAACTAAAAGGAGGGTTGTTATGCCTATGTAAACGTTCGGTAAGACATAAATGTTACCATACATTTTTTTAGCCGTAAACTAACCTAAATAGGTATTTCGAATGCGTTAGATAAATACTCATAATATCATAGTTACATTGTTATGGGGTGACCTCCTAGCTCCCTCCCACTTCCTAAGAGGCATTCAATTAAAAAGGCATTAATGGCCATAGAATGCATGCCAAATAGATTATGACAAAAATTAGGAAACTTAAATTTGGCGAATAATGGCGATTTTTTTATCAATATTAGGCAAATGTGTTATTAATACATTTATTTTGACGACCTAAGTGGTATAGCGATTTAGCACCCCGCCTTACTTCCGATGGTCGCGTGTTCGATTCCTTGCAGGGTACAAACATTTGTATTCATGAGTATGATTGTTTGTAACGGTATAATAGGTGTTTCATATGTCTATTATCTATGTAAGTATGTAGAATAAAATGTATTTAAATATTTATATCAGTTGTCTAGTACCTATCCATAACACAAGCTATGCTTAGCTTGGCACTAGAGGGCTCTGTGTGAATTGTCCAGGTTTCTTATAAAATATTGAAATATTTTCATTAAAGATCCGACATCATTTTAATAAATTATGACTTATTATAACTTTAAAATATAATACATTTCGATGTAATCTTTCATTCCCTATTTAATCGTAGAGTACAATTTACAAAAAAAATCTGTAACTTTTCTTTCTTCATTTTTGGCACAAATTCCATTGTCTTCCAAAAATTTATAAAATTAGCTCTAAAAAGGAAATCTCCTATAAACGACCAGTCATAGTTAAGAAATTATTTTAAGAAAATAAATAGCACACAATACAAGATTTCCAGTTACAGTGCGTGATTTGACTGAAAGGCCGATTACATATTACATATATACATATTTTATGATACATACATGGCCGATACAATTTTTTTTCAAAGCTGACAATATCGAGATTTGTCTTATATACAAATTATGAAGATCTATGCAAACGTTTCAAGGTCGTTACATTTTGTGAAACTCTATTTAATCTCCTTAAAACCACATTACATTTAAGTACTAAATATCTAAAGATATATAGTAAAATTAAATAACCAAAGTAGTTATTATTTATTGGAGTGTAGGTTCCGGAGCTCGCCGCCCGAGCCGGTCCGGTAATGAATATTCAACACTCATACTACATAAAAACCTCACCTTGTTGGTGACAGTTAATTAAAACTTTAATTTAATTATATTATGTTTTCTTTGAACATTGAAATTTATACGCCACTGTACTAAATTAAAATAACTTAAAATATTAACTGGGCGTTATAAAAAGTTAGATGCAACTATTGTCTCTACAATGTTGCAGTATCCAAACGGTCCAGTCATTTTGCTACTTATTATACTTAATATTATTTATCTTAAAATTAAACCGTTTCCATGAGGTCCCTACAAATAGTGCCTTCAGCAATAAGGCCGCCTTATTGTAATAAAACATGTGTAAATTGATATTTTGTGTATTGTCCACTATACAAGTATATTTCAAATATTACAAATAAAATATACTCTACGTATCTACTTAATTTTATATTAAATAATTACATTTATTAGGTATTCAATAATCTAATTCACACAGCGCCATTTAATCCCAAATTCAGCTAATTATTAAATAGATAATATGTTATACATATTTATTATTAAAACATAGGTGAAGTTTAAAGTACTTTTAATAATAGGTAAATAAACTAATTATTACGTTTGATATTATTGGTTTATTATTATTTTAGTAAGTTAATTTTAAACTTTTTTAAGATATTTATCTTAGGTATATGTGTATCACAGATCTGGGAGGTGAAGGTAAAACAAATGAAACTGCAAAATGTTACACGACAGACAATTCAGATACAATAATATTCACCACTGACACATTCGTATCCCAAGCAACCGCACTTGAGAATTAATCGATCGTGTTTCTCACTAAATGTTTTCAATTAAATATTTCGTATACTTTGTTTAATTATCGAAATGCAAGCATCCAAATCAATTACGGGAATTACCACTTGGTAATTAAAAAAAAAACAAATTAATCATCCTCTCCAGAGGTACGGCGAGTGACGTAAAAGAAAATGGTATCCGCCGATTGTGCTTAGTCGATACCTCGAGTCGATGACTGGCAGAATCGACTAAATTGCTTCTATCACATTAATATTGGATCCCGGGACCATGCAGTCACACGTAAGGCTATATTTAATTTAAACACACAAAGCGATTGCTATGGCTCCCGGTTTATATTTTTTTGTTACAAACTTGTTACAAAAATTAAAATTGGTGGGTGTGAATGGAGCTAGTTACAGATGTCAGCGGCGGGTATTAGTCACACCGGCGAGTGTTGGATGTTGGTTGTCTTTTATACACGATGATATACAAAACTATCATTATAAAAATGGATGAAAGTATTTTAATTAAATTAACCAGAAGGTAGAGTCGGCTCTTTACTTGACGAGAGCAGTCTCTACCTTCTATATAAGTATTACATTATTTTTAGTATTTAAAATTTATTTAGTATTAAATACCTATAGATAATGCAATATTAAAAAAAGTAAAGTAGAGCTATGTTCAGACTTTAGTCTGATTCACATTAATTGCATTATATTTAATAATAATATTTATATTTATTTATCATTGTTTATTATTACGAATGAAATATCCAGTAAGTGCATACATATCTAATTATTTTTAAAATTTACAATATTATTTTTAAAACACAAAAATTATATTGTGAAATGGAATGGAGCAACATTGAATACGATCTTATATTTGGCGCGAAATACAAAAGTTAGAAGTAAGTTTTAATAATATTCTAAGTTAATTTACAGAAACATATATATTTTTAATTTGTGTTGATCTCATTTTAATAACGTACATTTTTATATAAAAGGTAAACAAACAATAATATTTAATATTAATAAATATATTGAATAGGGAACCTGCACATTAGACAACTCTACGAATAGACCTATACATAAATAGATTTATGAATTTCATAAGCAATAAAATACAAAAAATTTAGTTATCAATCACAACAACATATTTACGCGTACATTAGCATTTTTATTAAATAAAAAATGTAGAGCTGTTTGTCAGTTGCCAATATATTACTAGAACAATATAGGTACTAGATTTGAACTGATATAATTAGTTAAGTAGCAACATAAATACTAAAAATAAAATATTAGAAAACCAATTTTAAACCCTTGCATTTCACTTGCATGGACATTAATTTACAGCACGTTATATTAACAACTGCTAACACGCTAATGTTTAAAGAAAAATATGAGTCAGATATCTACACCTTATAACTACCAGACAGACATAAGTACACTAGTTATAATATGAAGAAACTATAATTTATGACGTGTAGCTTCAATTAGCGAATGTGGGAGGCTTCGCGGGGCGATCGTCGCCCGCCATCTAGCGGGCGTCAGCGCCGCCCACCACCCGCCTCGCGGACTCGCGGCCGGCCACATATCGCTTATGAATATGAGGCGTTATGATTATGAAATATGCCCCGCCCCGAATATGGAATATGGGAGAGGGGGTCCCTGCAAGCGCGTGCGAATGGGCGAAGTTTGATTTATGAGCCTGGCGCGGCCCCGCCTCCCTGTCATAACCGTATACCTGGTGCGCGCGCGCGCTCGCCGCCGCCCGCCGCCCGCCGTCTCCTCGCGCTCAGTCCCGCTTCAGATGGCGAGAGGTTCGCTAGGGCGCACTTCGAAACCGCGTCCGCTCCGCACTCCGCACTGCGTGTTACGAACCGAGCCGAAGGCACCGCGCGCGAGTGTCGCCCGTCCCGTCCGCCGCGTGCTGTGAACACACCGCACCGTTCTCGCCGGCGCGGGCCCGCGACGTCGCCCCTGCCATGCGCCGGTACTGAGACAGCTGAGCCAGCGCGACACCATGCCGCGCATCAAGCCAGCCTGCGTCCGCCGCGTCTCCATCGGTACTTAACCCAATACATCACACTTGCGACACCGCGCCACTACACATGGAACAGTGAATTAAATTGACAAGGAAAATACGGTGATTTATGTCGATAAGTTTGCGTTCGCCCCTCGATCGAGTACCGTACTGAAAATGATTCAGTTAGCGACGATAAAATTCGGCATCCACCAGAGAGTGAGCACTAAAACTCGCATCCAGCGCGGTGAGTACAAGTGCAGTGCTTTACCACGCTTATCAAACACCTGTTATGATATTGTTAGTCACGGATATTATTATAGCTGTTTGGATTGTAGTGCTATCTATTTTATACGTGAAAATATACAAGTTCTAGGTGTACCTAATCCGCGGTATAAACTAATAAATTTGTACTAAAAATTTATTAGTTAGGTATCTACTTTTTTTTAATTTGTAGATAAAAACTTTTAAAAGTAAATTCATAGAAAATTTTTGATATTTAGTTAAAAAAATGAAATTTGTCTATTAAAATTATTCTCATTGTACAAGTTCATAGAGTTAACTTTAGTCGAATTATCACTAAGTGGTTACATACCATCTTTCGATAAACATAACTTTTGGTGAAAATAGTAACTTTAACACCTAAATGCCTGGTTACTGGTAGATACGGGGTAACTGTAGGTATAAATATCCAATTAATAATTTTTATCGATTTTGTACGTACAAATAAACTATTATCTTTTAAATTTTTAGGTTATTGTTAAAATGTATACTTCATAACATAGTATTATTGACACTTATAAAGAACAATTTTAAAATAATAAAATTAGTACTATGGGATAGAACTTGGTGAACTCATGATTAAAAATAATCAAAATAAGTATAAAATAGAGACTAACAATTATTTAAGTAGGTAGAGTCGCTAACTTAAATTAACTTAATTTAAAAATTATAGTGAATTTAGAAATTCTATTTATAATACGGTTTTAATAAGCACGTAAAGTATATATTTGCGTACATTTTTGAATTATGAACTGTTTTAATGTAAAATTTCTAGAAATAGGACTTCCATAAACAAGAGAAAAGTTTTTCTATTCCAAAATACTCATAGATTTTAAATTAGACACATGACAGATATGTTTTAATAGGTACTTACATTTTAGAAAATTTATATTTAAAAAAAAAGTTTTATGTTTCTCGAAAACTTGTGGATTTTGAAAAATGAACATGATAGATCTTTTTAAAGACATGAACAAAGTGTAAACAAGTTTTCTTTTCTTAAGCCATAGACTTTTAAATTATGAATATAATAGATTTATGACTAATAACCCGGAACCCCTGTCTACATTTATTATTTCTCCAGGAAAGATGTAGTTTTTTTTATTGGGAATATGAGCTCCATAGCTTCACACATTTATACCTGTAGAAACTTTAATAGGTATTATAAATTAGCTTGTTTTTTTTTTAATAGTGATTTTTTATGATATATAATTTTCCTAATCCTTATTAGATTAGGATACTCTAGGTAGAAAGTATTTAGAATATAGTATTTTGTGACATAGATTTATATCTATGTCACAAAGTACTGCATTAATTAATTAATGCAAATGATATATTAAATATTAGGTATCTACACCTATTTTCAGCATTGCATTCGATGGCATCCAATCATTTAGTTTAAGATGTAATTTTTACATAAATAAAAATGTAAACAACACCTATTGAATTGAAATATTTTTCTATATTTATTTTCTTTAGATTTCCATATTGATAAATGAGTCAGACTGATGTATTTTTATTTTGGACGTAGATTTACATCTGGTGCCTACTACATGACAGGTTTAACAGTCTGTGGAATTCATTATCTATGTTAGGAATTTGGTACATTTACCCTAACCTTATACCGATTATATAAAACCGTATACCACACTATAAGTAATAATAATGTATTATTACAGATAGGTAATATAAATAAAATAGTTTTTTGATGAATCATAAAAGAAACAAACTTATTTGTTGTATAATACTTATTAAATATAAAATATTGTACATTATAAAAGTGATTATTGATTAATAAATAAAAATTACATTTTTTTTTTATAAATGGGAAATTCATAGTAGGTAATGTTGAAAGGTCAGTGCACCCTGAGTGTATATTGAGTAAGAATTAAGTAACACTTAACCTAATAAATAAATACCTATATACTTACATTATAAATACTAAGGTACCGTAAGTCATAAGTAAAAAAGGACATAGTACTAATGAGTTTTGCTAATTTCTAATTAACGTCTAAGTGCATGTAGGTTTTATTTGAATATTATTATGAACAAAATTGAATCAAATTAATTTTTAACCTACCTCGGAAAGGAAGTTCACAATTTGTTGACTTTTTGTCTATTTAGTAATTGGTTGCCTCTATTCTAAACATTTTTTTTGCATTAATTTGCTGAAGTACTTAAGTCACGTGGTCAGAAGTTTTTTTTTGCGACTAAGTTCTATCTGCTAGATACGTATCATTAAATGAGCGGATTCCCAACACTATATGAAATTATTTTAAATATAATACATATGGACGGTGTTACAATTATTTATACACTCCTACCTAGTATCTAAATTATCGGTAAATGTAAGTGGCTAACATTAACTCGATCTGAAAGTCTATAGTAACTACGAGAGGTAGGGGAGGGGGGATCGTGTCTAGGTATACCGACAAGCTGTAAAATTTTATTATTACGAGCACAGCGCGGCCGCTTATCTCATTGCCACTTTTATGAGTGCTCTATAAAATATTTAGAGACGTTTTTTATCTGGTAACGATTGAAATAACCTGCCCGTTCATATTCTTATGAAATATATTCACTGTTTGTTTGTAGGTAGGTACGGTTAATAAATTCGAAAAACTCGTCGCCGGACCGGTTCTATCTGGTACTAAAATGAAAGATTGATATGCATACTGCGTCCATTTACCTTGAATGATGAATAATAATTGCTATTGATGTTTAAATTATAGACTTTCTGTAAGTAGATTAATTAGAACCGACTCCCAATTATAATGACCAAATATTCTAACGGCCATTATATTTATGGACATTAACGCCACCCACACATTCTATGTGTTACATTTCCTTATCTATGGCTGGGTACGATATCATATATGTATCTACTATAGTTACGCATACATATGTAGGGTACAATTAATCAATATACCTAAATATTATGTACGTAGGTATATTTACCTACAGCCTGTTACAAAATACATATCCATTATTAATTCCCAACATGCCAACGTATTGGTAGGTAATTTTCTACGAATAATAGAATATCATCTGACATGAATATTTATGTCCTATTTAGGCATTGTGTATTATACCTATACCTAACTTGCCTAGTCTACTACCTATATTTCCTATATAAAAAAAGTTTATAATATATATATTTTTAAAATTGATATCACATTACGGGCACAAGCATACCTGATTGTTACATTTGTCTAAAAAAATAACATGATTTTAATTTTAACTGTCTATTTGTAACATTGGGGTATATCTATCTATTCAAATTGATCTAGTCGCTGTAAAATATCTGGTTATTTAAAGACTAAACCATTTTCTTATCTTTTTGATTCAGTGCATAGATAAGGCCTTAAAATTATATTTATAAGAAATATTATAAAAATTAATACAACGAAAAAGTTCTTACCTGCTTACACAAATGTCACAGTGTATAATCGACTTTGTCCATGAAGTATGTATCTATACTTTCTTTTTGATTAAGGGATTTAGAAACTAGGCTAAAAGTAATAACTCTATTGATCTGAAGAAATCTATTGTGCTCGACGATCTTTAGAGTTAGCTGCCTAGGCCCGTCAGGGTCAAGAATTAAAGGATATTCTTAGGAGAGATGGTTTTTATCTCCTCAGGATAGAGTGAGTACTTTTTACAAGAGATATTTCATTTATGCATGTATGGACTACAGCCATATAAAATATACATGTATACTTAATATATATGTATGTATACTTTAACAATTTTAAATTATTATAGATGAGTTATCTTTTCTATCGCTATAATTGACAACTTTTGTAATATAATTACTACATAGTATAAAACAAAGTCGCTGTCGCTGTCTGTCCATCCCTATGTTTCCGTAAATCTTTAAAACTAAGTAGGTACGCAACGTATTTTGAAGCGGTTTTTTTTATAGATAGAGTGATTTAAGAGGAAGGTTTACATGTATAATACATGTACACCCGTGCGAACGGGGTGGATAACTAGTATAATATAAACCTACTTGATACGTTAGTTATTATAATAACTTCATTCTTTCTTCTTCTTTATTCTTTATTCTTCAACTTTCAGTATTAGAGAACCACTTTTATAAACTATATTGAAACTTTGCTGCATATATTACTGACCACCCTGTCACCTACGGCTTCATTAGTATGTAGGTATAGCATAAATATATATATGTAGGTAATTGTCTATCCAATGTCATTTTTAAACTGTTTCAAACGCTACATAGGTATAGAACAACTATTATTAAGACTCTTTATGAACGTAAAGTATCCAAACAAATGATTTTTAAAATGTTTGTCTGTTTATCCTTATGTTTATGCGCTTTAATTTCAGATACAGCATAACTGATTTGGTTCCTATTGTCACTAATGATTAGCGTTTGTTTAATCTAAATTATTTACACAAAAAAAGTTATAGGTACCTATAAGATCCAAATCACGGTTTCCATTAATTGTGCAATAAGTGTGTTCCACAATCAACATGTAGGTATATTTATAGATTCGACTGTACATAAACATAATTATTGATTCGAAATAGATATCCTTAGTAGAAACTGATAACTAAGGAAATGATAATAAACATAGGTACTTCACATTCTAATTAGGATAGAGCAAACTTTCATTTTGAAACAGACTACCTGTTTTTTTTCCTACTCTACATATTATACAACTTATGTAGATACATAGATAGGTGCTCTGTTTAGCACCATAGTAATTAACCACTTACGACTTCTTTAATTTCTTTATTAGTCGATTGAATTATTGGCGTCAGTGGTATTCCTTTGGCAGGTTCTATGTAGCTAATATTTATTATAGCCCAATATGTTTATGAACATGCAACGATAATCTGCCAACGATTAGACTTTCCCTGCATTACTTATTAACATAAATAAGTATTGCATGTTATACACGCTAGTCGACTAAGGTTTTCTAAGGCCGAATCTGTTTGACT